TCAAGTCTTTCCCCCTTTTAAAAAAGTTAGGCTGTTTGTCTTCTTTTGGTCTTTTTTGCAGTTTTGGCTAGGGCTGGGCTTGAACCTGCTACCGGAGGTATAATGGGGCCAGTGCCCTACTCCTTGAGCCACAGGTGCTGCCTCAGGCTGTTTTTTTTTGTTGTTGTTGTTGATTTGTAGGATTTGAAAAATGGAGCCCAGAGGTACTTGAATGTTTATAGCAGCCCAATTTACAATTACAGAGTTGTAGGAACCATCCAAGTACCCTTCCAAACCTGAATGGATTACTAAATTGTGGTAAACGTATACCATGGAATATTATTCAGACATAAAAAGATGAGGATTTTGTATCCTTCATTACAACTTGGGTGGATTTGGAGAACACTCTCCTAAGTGTCACAAGAATGGGAAAACAAGCATCACATGTGCTCAATACCAATTTGCAACTTATGGATTAGTAAGTGCTCACATGAGAGAAAAAGTCAGTTAAATCCAAGAAGGGGGACGGGGTAGGAGGGGAGGGTCATGGGATCCTTCCCAGTGGGAACAATGTATGCCATACTTTTTGGGTATAGGGCACAACTACAACTTAGACTTTACCTTACAAATGTAAACAGTGTGACCTAATTGTATGTATCCTCATATAAAGTGCAAATTTAAAAAAATAGAGAATTGGTTAAATAAAATGTCTTTCTTTCTTTTTTTTTTTTTTTTTGAGACAGAGCCTCAAACTGTGGCCCTGGGTAGAGTTCTGTGGCATCACAGCTCACAGCAACATCCAACTCCTGGGCTTAAGTGATTCTCTTGCCTCAGCCTCTCAAGTAGCTGGGACTACAGGCACCCCTCACAAGGCCTGGCTATTTTTTGGTTGTAGTTGTCACTGTTGTTTGGCAGGCCTGGGCTGGATTTGAACCTGCCAGCTCTGGTGTATGTGGCTGGTGCCTTAGCCACTTGAGCTACAGGTGCCAAACTGGTTAAATAAAATTTCAAGAATAAAAGAAAATGGAAGTTAGGCGTGAGTTCTTTGTCATGTAAATGCACCATGAGTATATTTTCCAAGTTTGTGGCTTATTTACTAATTTTATTAACGGGATCTTTTAATGTTCAGAAATTTTAAATTTTGACAAAGCCCGATTTATCACTTTAAAAAAAATGTTTAGTGCTTTTTATACCCTGTTGAAAAAATGTTTGCTCACTCCAAGGTTGTGAAAATATTCTTCCGTGAAACCTTCTAGAAGCTTCTTGGTTCTAGCTTTTCCTTTGGAGGGAGGTGACTTGTTTTCTACCTCCACATAGACATCTAATTTTCTCAAACCATTTGTTATACACCCTCTCCCCGAATTGACTTGATACCTTGTACAAAACAAGTTGACTGCAAATAAGAACCTATTTTTGGAGTTTTCTCTTTTATTCTATTTCTCTATTTGTTGATCCTTATGCCCATAACATACTTTCTTGACTGATGTAGTTTTATAATAAATCTTGAAATTAGTATAAATTCTTCAACTTTGCTCTTTTTCAAGATTGTTTGGCTGGTCAAGTTCTGCATTTCCATCTAATTTGGGGATCATGTTATCAACGTCATCAAAAAACCTTGCTGAGATTTGATTTGGACTGTATTTCATTTATAGGCAGATTTGGGGAGAATATCCATGAACATGGGATGCCTTTCTATTTATTTGGGTTCTTTCTCCTTCTCTTTTTTCTTTTTGAGACAAGGTCTTACTCTGTTGCCCAGGCTGGAGTGCAATAGTATGGTCACAGCTCACTGCAGCCTTGAATTACTGGCCTCAATTGATCCTCTTTCCTCAGCCTCCCAGAGTGCTAGGATTATAGGCATGAGCCACCCAGCCTTGTTTTCAATTTTTTTGTAAATAATGTAACCTTGTTTTTAAAATTTCATTTTCCAAGGTTTTGTTCCTGCTATAAAGAAATACAATTGGTTATTGTTTATTGATTTTGTATTCTGGGACCTTGACAAATTTATTTATTCTGGAGGGGGGAAGAGAGAGAGAGAGAGAAAATTTTGTAGGGTTTTTATGTCAGCTATAGTTTTAATCAAAATACAATTTTTAAAAGATAAAATAAAAGCACTTCATAGTGAGAAATTCCAAATATATAAAAGTGAATGATTATAGTACTAAAAATAATCTACCCTATTCCCATTCCCAGAGTTGAGTGCTCATAAATTGGAAGGTTTTACATGTTTTCATTAAATGTGCAAAGACAACCAAGTGTGTCTGGTGAATATCTACAATGTGTTTCAGTCACAGCCCAAATTACTGATGATAAATCAGAGAGTGGAGATCCTGAAGCCTTCATCTTGTCTTCCTGAGAGTGTCTCCTGGGACTTATTCAAGGCAAGGGATGGAAGAGACCCTGACAGTGCCTGCTGCTGAAATTGCAGTCTCAGGGTCACTAAGGAGGTGTGAGAAGATGTGAGCAGGAGCTTGAGAAGGGTTCTGACATCATCTCCCAATGTGTCCTGTGTCCCCTTCAACTTTTCCCTGACCTGGCTGAGATTCTGCAGATGCTGGCATGGCCTGGCTCTAAGAGGATTGGGGCAGGTGGTGAGTTAGACTAGGTCAAGGCCAGGGAAACCTGCAAGGAAGAAGCCCTGGGATTGAGAGGGTGGGAGAGAGACCAGGAAAGGAGAGGGAAGGAGGAACCTGGGTCTACGCGGGGTGGAGAGGGAGGAGATCAATCAGAGGAGCAGGTGTTTACTCAATGCTTTCTATAAGCCAGGCTCTGTGCTCAGTTGTGCACATGGCACAACTTGGTGCAGTTCACACCCCACATGCATGGAGAAGGTGCAGGTGTTACCCAGTCACAATAGATGTCCAGCTGTGTACATGTCCTTCTCCACGTAGTCCAAGAAGCAGATGGGCTCGTCACAGCTCAATAGAGGAGAGGGGTTAAGGGCTGTGCTCTCCAGTGGAGCAGGCTGGTTGATGCTCAGCTTGAATATTTTCTGTCCAAGGCAGAAAATGGAAAGGCACTTAAACACTCTGATGTTTGTCATAACCATAGGTAAAGGGATTAAGGGCTGCCAGCCTCAAAGGACCTTTTTTTTAAGGTTATTAGAGCACAAAGTTCAGCTGCTAGTGCATGGTAAGTGACACATGCTGTGGGGACCCTGTTTGTTCTGGTTTTGAGGGCAAGAAACTCTTGTGCCACAGTTTCCTTCTCTCCCTGACTGTCCATCTTTCTCTGTCCCTCAATCTCTTTGTGGGGTCTCAGTGTGTTTTCTGTGTGCATTCCTGTCAGGGACTCTCTGTTAAGCCAGAGAGTTTTTCATTATACCCAGGCAGTTTGTCCCCACCTCCAACCACAGCCTGTCACATGTCCCTCCAAATCCCCACTAATTCTCCCTATGTTTTGCTGAGGCTGTCCTGACCTAAGAGGATTGAAGCATTTGCTAAATGAGACCAGGACTGGGTCAGGGAACTAGCTGTGGGAAGGCTCAGGGGCCAGGATGGCCACCAGGGGCTGGCAAAAGATGCAGGATAGGAGGAGATGGAGGGAAGGGGCAGGATGCTATTGGAAAGGCACTTAAACCTTGTTATTGGTGCAAGGAGATAGAGACCATGAACCCAAAATAAAGACCAGAGATACAGGACCCAAACATTAATAGACTCTTGACTTATGACAAATAAATCACCAGCTTGTCAATAAACTGACAATTGGAAATCCACGAGAAAAAAATCCCTACCTCATACCATACACAATCAATTCTAGATGTACTATAGACCTACATAGGAAAGATAAAACTCTACAATTTTAAAGAACAGAATAGAATACCTTCATGATCATGTGATAATGAAAGATTTCTTAAGCAAGCAAGAAAAAAACATTAACCTTTGAAGGAAAAAGTAAAATAAAAACAGTGATTTTCAAAGCAGTATGCCAAGCACTTCAGACTGGTCCCACTTGTAAGCTCTGTCATCAATTCGTAACAGAGGTTTATAGAAACACCAGCTTTAAGAAATTTTTCTGCCAGTTTGAAAATGGGGCTATTTTGTAAAAGCCTTTTAAATTTTGATTAATGTTGGGTGAGTTGGCTTGTGCTTGTAATCCCAGCACTCTGGGAGGCTGAGGTAGGTGGACTGCCTGAGCTCACAATTTCAAGAACAGCCTGAGCAGGAGTGAGACCCTGTCTCTGAAAATACCCAGGCACTGTAGCAGGCACCTGTAATCCCAACTACTCGGGAGGCTGAGGCAAGGGGATTGCTTGAGCCCAAAAGTTTGAAGCTGCTGTGAGCTAGGACGCCAGGGCATTCTACCAAGGGTGACACAGCAAGACTGTCTCAAAAAAAAAAATGCTTAGTGAAAAAAATATATAAATGGGAAAAGATGTTTTCAGCATATTAATTGCCAAGAGTATATAAGAACAATTTTTATTTTTGCAGTTTTTGGCTGGGGCTGGGTTTGAACCTGCCACCTCTAGTATATGGAGCTGGTGCCCTACTCCTTGAGCCACAGGTGCCAACCAAGAACAAATTTAAATAAAGAAAAATGCCCCAGGAGTTGGAGGTTGCTGTGAGCTGTGATGTCACTGCACTCTACCCAGGGGGACAGCTTGAGGCTGTCTCAAAAAAAAAAAAAAAAAAAAGAAAAATGGGTAAAAAAGTGGACACATTATGAAGATTTTTAATGTTCAGTAAACATGTGTGAACTTCTCAGCCTCTTTGTCATCAGGGAAATTTATATTAAAACCACAATGAAGTTACGAGTTGGCAGAACGGTAAACAACAAAGTCTCAAATCCTGAGTATGTATCTGTGTGTGTGTGTGTGGACACTGAAAGCTCTTGTGCTCTACCGGCTAACACCCAACATACTCATGGCCAGTGACTTACTCCTAGTGGACAGAAATGCTCTTCCCTCAACCCAAATTGTAACCAGGGTACTGGAACCAGAGGCAAGAGCCAAGCATTCCTGTGGGTTAAAGTTGTCCTTTATTACCAAGATTCAGAATTGCAGGCATAAATCTAGTAGTGATCTAAGAGCCTGAGTCTTTTTTGTCCACAAAATCATTCCCCTCTTGGTGCCCAGATGAGGTGATGGAGACAGAGGAGACATGGGAGGGGTCTCAGGGTAAGAGGAGCTCAGAGATGTGATAACGGAATGTCTTCTGGGGAATCGGAGGTATAAGGGTCCTGGGCTGGGTCTGGGGCAGGGCCTGGGAATGAGCCTGGGTCTGGAGCAGGGATGGGGGTGGGGGTGGGAGTGGGGGCGGGGCATGGGGCAAAGCCTGGGAATGAACCTGAGCCTGTGGCAGGGCCTAGGAATGAGCCTGGGTCTGGAACTGGGTTTTGGCTAAGGCCTGGGTCTGGTCCTGAGGCTGGGGCTGAGGCAGGGCCTGGAGCAAAGCCTTGGAATAAACCTGAGTCTGGGGCAGGGCCTAGGAATGAACCTGAGTTTGGGGCAGGGCCTGGGAAGAGGCATGAGCCTGGGCCTGGGCCTGGGCCTAGGAATGGACCTGGGCTTGGGCCTGGAGCTGGGTTTGGGACAAGACCTGGGAGTGAGACCGAGCCTGGGCCAGGGCTCAGGACTGAGGCTAAACCCGGCAATGAGCCTGGGATTGAAGCTGGGCCTGGGAATGAGCCTTGGCCTCGGGTTGGGTCTGAGGCAGGGCCTGGGAATGG